ATATTCTCTGTATCTACTGGAACCGAGCCGCATAGCTTGTATTCCACTATTTGCATTCACACCTGGGCTGTGTATATATATTGCCTTGGTTTGGCTCTGTAATCATTAGTGGTCGTGGGACTAGTTTGGGTCCTACCTAAGCTGGTCGAACGTTTCGTTTAGGTCTGTACCCTAGCTGCACTGATGAGGCCCGGAAGGCCGAAACGGATCCGTCGGCAGATATTGGGATTCCTTCCAGTGGATGCTTAGTTTATTTTGTCATTCTGATCGGATTTTCTCTACTGTTCCGTCTTTATTTTAATTTTAAATTGTTTTGCATTATATGGCCGTTTGCTGTTTTATGGGTTTTTCCCATTTTCCTTTCAAACTTAAATATATACATACTGTTCATACACACAGTGTGTGGTAATTGGCCAGGAAGTTCCCTGGATATGCAGGTTAAATATAAATTCTTCACATACCTTGGTAACCCACCAAAATCCAATTCAGCACCGATGTAGGGACCAGGTCTTAAGATGACATAGAAGTCTAACTCCATTGCAAGTTGTAGAAAAGCACTAAACACAAGAAATATTAAAAACATTAGGAAATAGAAAGATCAAAATGACAATTTTGAATACATTCAAAAACATAAACACAAAATAAAATACAAAAATAAAATAAATTAAGTCATATTCATAATTATAACATCACCGACACAATCATAAATATATAATTAGTATTGTTTAATCAAATTAAAGTTGTTTTTTCCACAATAATGTCAAATCAAAATTCTGAACCATAAAATTTATTATTATCTTTTATTTTTAGGATTTCTTTTTAGCTTTAGTTTTATTCAGCATCACTACACAGGAACATATTCCATTCATAACTAAAATAATCCGCTCTGGACACAAAGAAAAAATCAATTCTTTTCTCATTCTGTAAATGAAAATGTAATGTAAATGAGACCCTTATAACAGGCTGTCCAGATATACTACAGCTGACCAACCCTTTGTTTATAGGTTGTACTAACAAAGGTATATTAAAATATCCATACAATTACAAATACAATGCAATATCAATAATTTATTCAAAATGAAAATTGAAAATTCACAATAAAAATATTGTATAATATATATTTTTGTTGTATTAAATTAAATATAATTTATATCAAGGACACATAATATACTAAAGTCTAGGCAATGACAATTTATCTTAAATGCCAGTTGTAAATTCACAATAACAAATTTGTATATATACATATATCTTTGTATCATTTGGAATATGAAGGTTTTGCAGTGCATTTTAGGCAGTATTTTTTTTAGTCTACGCACAGCAGACCCCAGAACCTCACTGCTGTTGTTGTTGTTGTTATTATCACACTAGCATTGCTAGTTTTGAACAGACGTGCTGTACACATAAGCTAGGTTATGAAGTTTGACCCAAGAGTGCCCCCTACACCTACAAAACAAAACACAGACTGTACATTACAGAAATTACCACTAATAGGACATGTGCATGGATGGCGTGATAGGTTAACAATGTGTTTTAAGGAACCAAGGGTCGTGAGTTCGAATTGCATCTTGCTATTCAATTTTTTTTTTTTTATTTTTTTATTTTTAGACATTTTATTTTATTTTTATTATATATTTATTTTTTTCTTGTTAGTGGTAGTAATTATTGACAATTGTAACCGACAACCCTATTATGCCACTGTGTATTGTATTTAAGCATGCAGGATATTTCCTCCATGATCATACACAAAGCATTAAACGCCGAATAGAGGTAACGCACGGGCCGGGGAGTGGTTGCTCTTGTTAGGTTAAGTATTTACTACGGAAGCTCATGATTATAAAAACAAATATATATTTTAAAAGAAACTTATCTCTGTCATAATTCTATTTATTTAGAATTTGCAATGTTAACTATATTACACTTGACAAAAATGCCCTATTTGTATTACAGTACATATTTTTCTGCTGCACTCAAAACATTTTTATACTTGTGGGCAGTAAAATTATTAATGTTGTTAATGTCTAATCCAGTGAATATATATAGTGGAATTCCAACACTAACCTAAAGAAAGAGCATTTAAGCATGATGACAATCAATCTGGTATAATACTTACACAATATCTAGAATTCCCGAAAATTCAAATTCACCTCTCACCTCTTCATGCATATTCCAGGGAACATACCTTAAAGGAAAAGTGATTGAATCAGAATGTAAAATACACTGAATTTACAGATATAGTAATGGTTTAATTTTTGTCATTAATATTGTGGAAGTGGAGAATTTATTCAAGGTAGTAGTTTCCCAACTCCACCAAGCCCATCATAGCATGCCGTAACTAATTCAATTTAAATGGGTGTTAGTGAGATTATCCTGTTGAGCATGGTCCCAGGTCTTCCTAGAAATACTCGGCTTAAAATTCCTTCTTCTCAACAGCTAAATATAAAATAGACCTATACTTACATGGTTATTGTGTTAAGGCCGCAGGCTTTCATCTTTACCATCCTGTCCTTCCAATACTCAGGTACGACCCTAAAATAATGCAGGCTGCCACCCAGAAGCAATACATTTTTACCATCAATCCTGAACTGTCTCCCTACATTTCTTAGGGAGGGTGGTGCGATATCTCTTCTTCCGATCGGACCAACCGTATGTTTCACCTTCTTGACTTGTAACTCCCAAAGCCAAAATAGGTAGCCTAAGATGAGTAGGGCCAACACCAACCATCTGATAATGTGTACAGGACGAAGTGAAACCCTTGACATTTTAAAGCTGGGTTAACCTACATGCTCTTTAATTTTAAAGTAAGTATTGTAGGCTAGGAAGTACAACTTAATAACTTCTCTCTATCTGTATTGCACGTCTTGTGATTTGTGCCACAGCTTCTCTCTACCGGTGTGTTTGAAAAGTCAATTGGTCAAACCATTGTCACGTCGAGCAGATGGTAATATTATTCATACTCTATTGCTGTGTATCCAAAGTAAATTATAACTATAATTGTTAATGCAAATTTAAGCACACTAAAAACTGATTTGAGAGAAACTAATACTGTACAAGCAAAAGTAGAACCCATAAAAAAGATTTTAGGCATTCACGCTCGAGAGGGTGCTATAAGTGATGATGACATTAGGGAAAGTGCTACCTGCTTCATTTAATTAGAATAAAAATAAAATGATATTACTGTATTAACGTACCTAGAAATACTCTCCGGGGACAGTCCACCCCACTCAAGTACATAGTTAAAAATGTCTTCATGCGACGTTATTTTGCGAGCAAGCCCCCTCCCTCCCTTTAGCTTCC